TGAATCGGGAGGCCCTCACAACAGTCACTCGAGGCCTTGTGATCTCTAGGCTGGAATACTGCAATGTGCTCTACATGGGGCTGCCCTTGAAGAGCATCCGAAGACTTCAGCTAGTCCAGAATGCGGCCGCGCGAGTGATCGTGGGCGCACCACGGTTCGCCCACATAACACCGATCCTCCGTGAGCTGCACTGGCTACCTGTTGGTCTCCGGGTGCACTTCAAGGTCCTACTCACCACCTATAAAGCGCTCCATGGTAGTGGATCTGGCTATTTGAGAGACCGCCTTCTGCCAATTACCTCCCTGCGTCCCATCAGATCGCATAGAGTTGGCCTCCTCCGTATTCCATCCGCCAGTCAGTGCCGACTGGCGACTACTCGGAGGAGAGCCTTCTCTGTTGCGGCTCCGACACTATGGAACAATCTCCCCGTGGAGATTCGTACCCTCACCACCGTCCAGGCCTTCCGCACAGCCCTCAAGAACTGGCTAACCCGTCAGGCCTGGGGATAATCTTATTTCGCCCCGCCCGAATGCTGAGTGAATGTTGAGTTTTATTGTCTAAATTACTTTGTGCACATTTCTTTTTTTGTATTGTCCTACACTCCCCTTCCTTTTTGATTGTAAGCCGCCCTGAGTCCCCTCAGGGAAAAGGGCAGCCTATAAAATTAGACAAAATTAGACAAACAAACAATAAATTCTCAAAGTTGGATATCTGATACAAATAGATGCACTAGAAAAAGTGACCATGTTTCACAGGATTGAAAAGAAGTGGGGAAATGGATGCAATAGATGGGTTTTCATCAATGTAAATAGATGAACAAGATAAAATAAATTACAGCATTGTCCTTGGATTAGCCACATTACTAGAGATTGAAAAATAACAAGCTTTTTCACATAATCATTAGAAGTTGAGTCTGATTGATGATATCTTTTTAGCTAAGGGCTTTTTATCTGGAAGGTTAATATGCACACACCTGTTGTGTGATCCAGGAAGATTCTTCCTCATATATTTATATGATATATAAATATCATATATAGTTTTCATATTGTACTTTCATATTAAATTAGGAAGTGTCTCATAGCAATAAACAAATTTTTTCTTTTGATATTTTTAAAATCATAATCCAATTGTTTTTCCTGTTTTGTGATAAGAAAAATAGTTGTTTCTTTTCCATCACTTTTATTTTCATCTATTTTAAAACAAAAGACAATAAAGCACTTCTTAAAATAATCTGAGCATAATATAAGAAAAAAGGTGTATTCTGTGTGTCTGTGGTCCATTGTCTGCATATGAATGTGTACATATATACCTTACATATACACACAAGCTTATATATAATATATATTTCATACAAGATGGATTAGAAGCATGGACACAATTTATACAAAAGAGGGACTATAATATATATAATTCTGAATTTGCTAGGGAATTGGGTAGGAAAGAAATGTTGCCCTCATGTCCTCTAGATGGGCTTTTGGTTGATGCATTATGATACATTTTTATTATTTTTATTTAGAAGCTGGTTTTATTATTAGCAATTCAAGAGTATTCCATAGTTAAACTGGCACTTGGGGACAGTTTTACATGTACATTAATCGACATCCATCTGTTATATATAAAATGATTTTTTTAATTGCCCCTGGGCTATATAGTTTGGCTATTTTATCTAGATGTAATACTTTAACAAGTGCTTTAATTATACTGCTATTTTTAATCTTCCAAATACACTTGCTAAGTGAATTGAACACCTCTCCTTTCCTCCCTCTTACTCTTCCAGTCTGTTCCTTGTCAATTCACATCAGTTTAAGGTTAAGGAAACTAATAGGGAACAAGGTGCTACAAGATTGGAACTCAACCTTGCTTCCCAGAGGAACACAACTGACAATTAGCACAAGAATCAGCATCAAAAAAGAGCAACCCAGCATGAAGTCTGTTTAATTAGTCATATGAACTGAAAGCTTCCCCCCCACACTTCCTCAATGAGCACATGCCTGTCAGATCTTATATGGTAGAGACTGCTTTCTCCCATAAGACCAAGAGAGGCTGAGAACAGGTAATGCTTGTTAAACAATTTAATTAAAGTTTTGTTTCACATAAAATTTGTTTTATTCACTTCCTCATCCTTGCTTAAGGACAGAATGGAAGAGAATAAGCATTTTTCTATATCGTATCTTCACTATGTAACCCTTTATGTATTAATGGACAAAAGCAATATATAAATTATTAAAGATGAAAGTTGCACCAGATCAAATAACTTCAATCTGAGTTTAAAAAATTATTAAATTTCTTTTTTGAAAGAGAAAAAGAGATCAAGATTCACATGACACTAGGAATAAATAATACATTTCTCTACACTTCAAAAATTCTATTTATAATTTGTAAAGTAGAGATCAGACTTTACAAATTGTGGCTAAATTATTCAGACTAAAGGCTTGGCTTTAGCATAGCTGGAGAGGTACAGATATTGCGTGGATTATTTAAGAGGCCATTGCTTTCAGCGACACATGCAAGCAACCCAGTATTCCTAGACATACGTGGCATCTTTAAATGCATTGTCTGGATTCAGATTCCATGTAATTGCACAAAAATGAGACATAGATTTATTAATTACTGGGGTTGGGCAGCTTAATCACCTTGGCAATTTTACTCATTGGACAATTCTACTCATTGAATATACAATCCATACATCTGCCCAAAACTGAGATATAATTTATGAAGTTATTTAAGATGGACAGCTAATACACTCAAATAAAACTATCATCTTGGCAGACTTGAAAGAAAATATATGATCCAAATCATAAATTTCTGAAGATTTTTTCAGAGCATCCAGTTTAAAGAAAGCATGATTTTATCACATGGAGTGAAATTATCCCAGATGTCCTGCTGAACTTCAGCATCATATTTAGCCTCATTACTGTTATTTTTGGTACTATCTAATGTATATTTATTATACATTGGGCATACTAGACTTTTAACAGGGGGGAAAATAGCAGTTGACAGTCTAGGGCAGTGTTGGCTAACTTTTTTGTCATCGCATGCCAAAAGCATGTGCACACCCATAATGCGTGAACCCCCACCCTGTGCATGCACATGTGTGCCACGCATGTGCCCCACGCATGTGCACTGATCCCTGTGCTACCCTTTCCCCCTGCGCAAGTGCACATGATCCCTGTTCATGTACGTGCAACCCTTTCATGCGCCAACTCCTCTGTGCATGCGCACATGACCCACACACATGCACCCTGCACGTGCATAGCAGAGAAAAACAGTTGGCCAGCAGGAGGCACATGCACATGCGCAGTGGAGCTGAGCTGGGTGACGGCTTATGTGTTCACAGAGAGGGTTCTGCATATCCACTGTGGCACATGTGCCATAGGTCCACCAACACAGGTCACATTGCTCACCCAGTATCATATTCCATTCAGTCAACAAGCAGCTGACAATTACTTCCCTGCTAAGCAATAGCTATTTGTGGTGATTCTTATGGCAAAAATAAATTCTTAAATAACATTAAATCAGTCTTCTGAGAACTGTGGGATTTGTGATCCAATCCATTTAAAAAAATGAGATACATGAAAAGTGTTTTACTGCTTTAAATTACAATTAATCTGGAAAAATCGTAGTTTTCTTTGTATATAGGCATAAAATAAGTAATTTAAAAATTTGAACTGATACAGCCAAAAATATTCTGAGCCTATTAAAATTGCTATCCATGAACAGTTTATTATATGAGTATCATACCCATCTGTAATTTCAATATGTAGGCCAACTGAAAATGTTCCAGTGGATAATATATCAAATGGAAATATAAATAATGAAGAAATATAAGCACAATCAGAGTTTATCCTTTACAATGGCATCAGGAATATGTATCCTAATAATGGGTTTTCAATGGAAAAAGTAAATAATCAGTTCCATTATCCATTCATGTTGCTTGATTAATTAGAAAAAGAACCCGCTATATAATCCTCAGCAAGGAATGACATTCCTAGCAAATTTGCTGCTGAAAAGAAAACTGCCTAAATGATCACTGATTTTGTAGCTGTCTGGGATCCAGGCTTACAAGTGATGATAAGGATGCCTTATCTCAATTCTAATGTGGTTTGGAAGACAATGGTGTTTTCTGGCAGTATCAGCAGTTCAAAGCAGAGGCAGTTGTGGATATTAGTAGTTATATATGGAGTGAATTAAAGTAGAATGAGAGACCAAGAGTAATTGAGTGATATAAATATATATGGAGATTTATGGAGATGCTTTGGATGTAATGTAACCGAAGAAGAATTTCAATAAGGAACTTATTGGTATCTATTGTTCTGATCAGCACCAATGTTACTGTCTATAAATGGTAGATTATTAATGGAACTTTTTCCCCTAGACTTTCCACAAAAACTTCAGAGAATATATAGTACTTAGCAGTCTGATTATAGTTATACAATAAAAACCGCAATGATATGTGTCGTATTGTCATTATGCAAAATATTTAATTTATATCAGTTGCCTTCTCATTTGTGTCATTTTCCCAGTATTGTCATTTTCCCCATCTTCCATAGACACCCAAGATCCCAACAAGCATCAAAGCAAATGATCACTGATTAAAAAAAATTAGACAATATGTAGCATCAATCCCACTATAAAGAGAGGCTGTATGCCATATAAACCATAGGAATTATGTGGATCTTGTATGTATGTATACATATGTATGAAACTTATATGCATGTATATAAGTGTATGTATGTATGTATATGTATGTGCAGTGACGTGCGGTCAGCTTTAGCCCTGGTGAGGCACTTTTTAGACTTGTGGACTTCAACTCCCAGAATTCCACAGCCAGGCANGGGAGGGGAATGAATTATACAATATATTATTCGCTTTCGCGCCTAAATAATCAGACTTCGCTTTGCTTCGCTTCTGTTCATTTATAATTAGTAAAAGTACATTTGATTTCTATCAATGGAGTCTCGTGGTCTTCTTTCCTGATTATCCAATGAAGAAGTGCTGACAGTGTCCCTCTTTACCAATCTGAAAATCTGGTCACCTTACTCTAATCCTTCTCTTTCTTAGGCTAAATATTCCTGAATAGTTCATCATATGTTTAACTTCCAGATCCTTTATCACCTTTATTGCTCTTCTCTGCAGTCTTTCTAGGGTGTCAGCATTTATTTTTATTTTTTTGCATCATAGTGATCAGAAATGGATGCAGTATTTTAAGTTGTCTTACCAGTGCAGTATTAAGTACTACTAGCATTTCGTGTAATCTTGTCAGCCCTGGAGGCCATCTTTTTTTTTGGATCTTCCAGGCTGCCACACTTAGTGCTGTGGGAAACTGGGAGGGGGGATTGCATAGTCATAATAACATTCCTTTCTCTGAGGGCCAGGGACATTTGGCCTGCACCTGGAGTAGTGTGGGAGGTATCTCCAGTTGGGACAGTTTATTGATTGGACCATGTGATGGATGTGGGTGCAGGGAAAGGGAGTTGGGAAGCTTTCAGATTTGGGTTTTCCCAGATGTGCCAATATGACATTTCTAATAAAATGGACCTTTGAGGAACTATGAGCCTTGCGTTGGGGGTGTTACTTGGAACCCTGACAATCTCTCTGTTGGCTCCTGCAGTACATTGCTGGCTCATATTTAAGTGGTGACTCATTAATACTAGGTACCACCAGGTATTGAGCCAGGTACCACCTATTCTATGCATTTGGTTCTTCCTGCCTAGGTGTAAAACCTTTCTTTTCTCACCTTTGAACTTCATTTTGTTTGATAAGTTCAATTCTGTTGAGAGTCGTCTTGATCTTGAGCCTATCCTGCCAGCTTGGTGTTATCTGCAAAGTTGATGAGTTCCTTTTCCATCACCATCTAAATCACTTCAAAACAAAACCAAATAAATTATTGATTATTGTTAATTTTAATTGAATTTTTTTTAAATGTTATTGTTAATCTTAATTGGGTTTGTTTTTTTGATATTGTATCTAATTTTTTTAATTTTTTTTAAAACTTTTGTAGTATGTGTTTTTTAATGTTGTACACCACCCTGGGTCCTTGGGAGAAGGGCGGCATATAAATCTAATAAACCAACCAAACCAAACCAAACTTCTGAAGATGTTGAAGGGCACTGAGCTTTGGGGTGGGGAATAATGCTGCCCCAGAGAGAGGAAGAAGCAATGGACAGTACGGGGCTGGAATTCTACAGTGCTGCAAGTGGAGAAGAGCCTCCTGGCTCCCTGATCCCAGAGCAAATAAACTGTCCCCTCTCATCCTCAGCCCAGATGATCTTGCACTCCCAGAGGGAGTTCAATCTTGCTTACCAAGGATATGCCCATCCAGGTGGTTTTTCTCAGAATGTCGTAGCAGTTCCCATAGAAATACCATCAGACAATTGAAGACACTTTTGTGGCACTCGGGGAGCATGGAACCTATCTGGAAAAGAGGAGGAGAGACACTGCTGACCTGGAGATGCCCAGGATGCACATTCCTGCTCCTCCCTGGGTTCTCTTACCTGACTACTCAGGCTGTAGCTGCCGGCACTCTCCACACTGCAGTCATACAGCACCTACATCTGAAGTCCCCAACACAAGGCAATGATAGCCTTAGGTCTGAAAAGCCAAGCAGAGTGACTGGTGTAATCTGTAGGCCAACAAGTTTGCTGAACAAATATCCAGGAGTAAAAGGCAGTATGGGGGAAATTGGCTTTGTCCATATAGAAGCCATTTAAGGAGACAAAAAGTCCCTCTTGGGGTGGGATGGAGCAGCTGACAGGTTGAAGCTGCAGTGTGACTCTCCCCAATGGCACATTCTCAAGAGTCTGTTAGACGATGGGCCAGAAGCAGCTTTAAGGGGCAAGGGTGAAAGGAAAAGGCCTTCCCCAAAGAATACCAAGTGTGTCCAACATTCCTGTGTCCAGGCAGTCACGGATCTCTGGAAACTCAGCTCGAAGACCAGGTTGCTGGAACAGGTCCTTCTGCAGGCGAGAGGCAGCAGTGGTAGCAGAACCAAAGGAAGATGGAAGTTATATGCAAACATTTGCCTTTTGTCAGGTCTTCTGAGAGCACATTCCTCTTATTTGCATCCATACACACACACATCTGCTCCCATCATCCCATAGCCAGGCTTTTTTTGCACATGAAATTGTTATACAGGTACTCTTCATTTACAACTGCCTCATTTAGCAACCCTTCACAGAATATGACAGTGATTTAAAAAATAACTTTGTGACCAATCCTTGCATTTACAACCTTCACAGATCTGTAAAGCAAAGGAAAGATGGAGTAAGTTCATAAGCAGAGTTCATTTAGTGAATACTTTGCTTAATGACTAGCTGCCAGTCACAACTGTGGTCAGTAAATGAGTACTACCTGTAAGGAAGAGAGCTGAGTCAAATAATCTATAGAAACATTCCCAAGACTGTTTCTATCCTTGATTTCAGAATGAAATACCTGCCTACTGAAACAGGATACTTCTGTCACAATTAGAATGCATAGACTCAGGTGGATACTCACCTTTTGGCAAGCATTATGGTACAGATGGTCCACCATCATCCACAATTCCTTGGGTAAATCCAAGGGCTTCTCATCCCAGAAGAAATATCCTGACCGCAATGGCATCAGTGTCTGGATAAAAACAACAACAGGTGCTATAAGAACCTGAGTTCTTGCGCAAATGGGGTTATCACAGGGTACAAGGGCAGTAAGGGTACCATGACAGTAAGGTCTCACCAGCTTTCGGATGGTTTCTGGCAATATACCTTGGATGGGTTGTCTCATGTGAATGAGAGCATGTATAGGGGTCCCAAAGCAGCTGGGGCGATAATTTCCTGTCACAGATAGAAAATAATCTTTGCCCCAATCAAGGTGTAAAACTCAGACATCCTCCAATTGGTCTTCTCCAGAGTTTAAATGGGTTGCTGTTGATTTATTCAGAGAACTAAGAAGGCCCTAAAAATTGTTAACATCTGTCCTGAATAAACATGAAATTAACTTCAGATGGCTGATGCCGGAGGGCATATTGGTAACTTGGAGAGATAGAAGATTCAGAATAGACAAAGTGGAACAAGCGGAAGATTTCTACAATAATCATGTTGGCCAGGAGGATGAGGAAGACGAAGGAGAACAGTCGGGAGCAAGGATGCAAGGACTCGGGGCACAGATAAGAAGAGAAAAGGAACTAGTTGAGACAAGAAAGGAAAAAGAAGTTATTTTAGACAACAAAGGGGAAGAACCAAAAGAAGTGAGAGAGATAAGAGCAACAAGAAGCACACGACCTAAATACACATAGAATCATGTCTGGAGAACCCAAGATTCTATCATTGAATATCAATGGTCTAAACTCACCTCAGAAAATGAAAACAACCTTTAATAAACTAAAACATTTG